GAAAAAAAAAAAAACGCGCTGCTGCAAGGAGCCCAGGAGGTGGCACATGGGCCAGGCAGAGCTCGTCTCCCCTGCCCAGCCTGCGGGTTTGGGGGACATGTCCCCCCTCCCCCTGCAGCAGTTAGGAGCAGGACAACCTCAGCCTGGGATGCTGCAGGACCCAATGGCCCCTCAGCCAAGGCCGTGGTGGTGAGGGGCTCTCCCAGCTGTAAGTGAGGGTGGCCACAGGCTCCCTGCCCCTGAGGTGGGGCAGAGGCCGGTCCGGGGGCCTATGGAGCCCCCGACGCCTCTGGGACCAGGATCCTGTGGCCTGTTAGGAGGCGAGCATGTTTCCTGGGGGGCTGGGGGAGGTGGTGGATGATGAGGACCGGCCGTACCTGGTCTATGTGCGCCTCGTCCATGTTGCCCTTCTTCTCTAACACCACCTCCAAGTCCGTGTCGGGTTCCTGCAAAGAAGGCGGAGGGAGTAAGGCTCAAGTGGACCATGGCCTCCACTGGGGCAGCCCGGCAAGCGAGACCGTGATGAGCCCAGAAAAGATGCAAGACTGCAGCACCCCGCCTCTCCCACCCCCCACCAAACAACACCTGCCTTCCCCCCTCTTCCGCTAGTGCTAAGTCATAGCGGACTCTTTGCGACCCTATGGGCTGTAGCCCACCAGGCTCCCCTGTCCATGGGATTTTCCAGACAAGAAGACTACTGTGGGGTGCCATTTCCTACTCCAGGGGATCTTCCCAACCCAGGGATCAAACCCATGTCTCCTGCATTGGCAGGTGGATTCTTGGCCACGCAGCTACCTGCAAAGCCCTTCTCTTCCACCATGCTCCCCAATCCTGTCCTCAGAACTGCGGCACTGACCTATGTGCCAGGTGAGGAAACTAAGGCTCAGAGCAGTGAAGGGGCTATCACGAGGTCACCGCATAGCTCAGAGACAAGGCTCACACTAACTCACACTAACCCCAATTTCCCAACTCAGGCCGAGAGCACGACCTTCCCGGCCAGACGATGCCCCACTTCCCAGGTGACACGCCAGCCAGGAGCAAGGCCAGGGCCCCACTGATGCGGGGAGGGGTGGGCTAGGGCCAGGGAGGGCAGAGGCGGGGGCTGGCCGCCCTGCAGCGAACCTGAAGCCCCCCCAGTTCCCTCTTCCATACCATGCCCCGCACCCCCCAACTCCGAGTTCCAGTCAGTACCTTCTCTCCTGCCTGAACCATTAGGACAGGTTCTACTGCTGCTTCCCTGCCCCCAACACCTGCCCTATGTCGGTTCTATCTCAATTAAAAAATGTAAAACCACCACAACTGGACCACACTACCTCATCCCCCAAAACCCTCCACGGGCCCCTACCCTATTTACATGAAAATCCAGACCCCTGCGGCTGCTACAGTCTCTGCCAGGCCCCAGCGGCCCGCCCCTGCCACTCCTGCCCCTTTGTTCCTCCCAGGTCTCCGCACCTGCTGCTCCCCAGGCACAGATGGCCCCGGCCCCTCACAGGTCTCAGCTCCCACACGGGTGCACAGGCCACGCTCTCTTAGTGACCTCAGCCCCTTGCAGGACCCTGTGACAGCGAGATTCAGGGTGGCCACTTTCCCTGAGGTCCTCAGCAGCGACAACTGCCACTTCCGCGCTTCGGGTGTGCTCCGCCTGGCACCCAGAGTCCCATGTGCTGAGCCCTGGAGGGCTCTGTTCGCTCACATCACCCCGGGACCCCATGCTCAGCCCATCTCCTCCCTCCCCGCCCCCATCCTGGAAGCGGGTCTGGATGGACAACACACCTCTGCTGTCTCCACCAGGCGGCCATCCCTTCCCTTCCTCCTGGTAACAGGACCACCACCTCCCCCCAGCTTCGGACAGTGGGGTTCCACTGGGACAGACGCCGTCAGCCCCTGCCCACTGGCTTCAGACCGGGGCTTCTGCTTTGTGCGACCCAAAGGAGAGCTGGGAGAGCAGTGCCAGGATGCTTCCTGTAATCGTTTTGGAGGGGCTGCCCTTCTCCCTTTGGGGGTGGCTTAACTACTATGACGAAAGCCTGGAGATGCTGGGACCATCTCACCTTGGGGCTGGGGTGGGGAGGAGCCTGAGACTAAAACCAGCATTGAAAGACAGAAAGCACAGAGCCAGGAAAAGCCACATAGGCATCTTCTGTGATCCAAATTTAATTCGATCCCTAGACTGTGTATCTTGAGCTCAGATAGCTCTGGACATCGTATTATCTCAGGAACTGTTTGGGTCCTGAGCTGTAGATAGCAAGTGGTAAGAGTTTAGAAAGAGGAATTTATCTGAAAGACTTATTCCTATTAATAAGTTTTTAATAATTAAAAATAATTATTAATATTAACTAAGTCCTATTAATAAATTAAAACCTTAATCCTATTAATACAGACCCTGAGTGCAGAAAACTTGGGTAAAGTTTCGATAGCAAGGGATACATACCTGTACTACTATTACACTAGTGCCCAGATCGAGCCATACCTGGAGCTAGGCAGCTATCAAACTTTCTAGTTATCTGTGTCAATAAATCCTCCTTTTCTGACAGATTGCACACACACACACACTCCCAACTTGCACCCTTATTCTCCCCAGCAGTCAGCCTCTGAAGGAAAGCCTACCTCTTCCCAAGGTGGCTCTGCTGCTTTGCTCTCCTGCCTCTTCTTCTTCTTCCTCTTCAGAGCTGACTCCTCGGGGTCCGCCTGCTCCACCCTTTTCTTGGACTTCACTTTCTTCTTCACAGAGGCCCTGGGGCCATCTCCTATGGGGATGTATTCTGGAGCTTCAACTCTGACTGGCTTCTTTTTACTTCCTTTCGTAGGGCTGCTCTCCAGGGACCAGGAGCAGTCAGGGTGCCCCAGCGGGGGATCTCCCTCCCGGTGGATTTTCTTCTTCTTCTTCTTCATCTTCACGCTGTGTTCCCTGGGACTCCCTTGCTTCCGCTTCTGTCCCGAGACGGCCTGCTCCTGGACGCCATCCTTCCCAACTGAGTGAGTATACAATGCATTCCCGGCCTCGAAGAACCAAGGATCCATGCCTGAGAAGGCTGTAGCTTCCTTGGCCTTTTTCTCCTTCTTGTGTTTTTTGAGCTTCTTGCCAGCTCTGGTCACTTCCTCGTCCTGTCTGGGGTCTGGAGAGGTCTTCACCCTTGAGCCGGGGGACGTGGACTTCCTCTTCTTCCTCTCCGCACTGAGGGACTCAGACAGACCAGGTGCCTGCGTCCTGGGGCTGTGTGACCGCTCAGTCCGTCCAACACGTAATGGGATCTCAGGTTCAAGGTGCTCCTCACAGACAGTGCTGTGACCCTTCTTTTTCTTCTTTTTCTTCACAAGAGGCATTCTGGGTGCCTGCTCTTGGATCACATCCTTCAAGGGTGGTGTGACTCTTGGACAAACCTCTGTGAAATAATTGTCACTGTTTAAAACCGAGTATTGAGTCTCTGGTTCTTTAACCACTTTCTTTTTCTTCTTCTTTTTTTCTGGGAGCCCAAGGCCCACCTCACCTTTGTGAGCCTTAGTGATCATTCCTGAAAAAAGAAATGGTACTAATTATCCCACGCCAAGTGGCTTTAAGTACAACTCCACTGGGTATGACCAAGAGCCACGCTTCTTGGAGTGGATGGTCTGAAAGGTTAGGGGCTGGGAAAATGGGCACGATTCCTGGGAAGCAATGGGAAACATGATGGAAGAAGCAGTGCGTGCTAAGCGGCTTCAGTCGTGTCCGACTCTGTGACCCCATGGACTGTAGCCCACCAGGCTCCTCTGTCCATGGGATTCTCCAGGCAAGAATACTGGGGTGTGTTGCCATGCACTTTTCCAGGGGATCTTCCCAACCCAGGGATCAAACCTGAGTCTCTTAAATCTCCTGCATTGGCAGGCAGGTTCTTTACCACTAGGGCCACCTAGGAGACCCCCAGAATGAAATTTAAATCCTGACAGCTTCAGGTTCAAATAAATCCAAGTTGATCCCTCAAGTCAATCCCCTGTCCTCCCCAGGCCTTAACTTCCCCATCTGAAAATGGGGAGACATAACCCGTCTTTTCTCAGAGAGTTGTTGGAAAGAATAAACAATAATCCATGGAAAGTGCTTGGTAGATTGTTGATTACTTTCCTAACCCCCTTCCTCAAGCCCTCATTCATTCCACAGAAATGTACCCTGTGCCAGCCACTGAAACAACTGTGCTCAAGCCACAGGCCAGGCACTGCCCCCAGGGGCTTACCTTTTGTTGGATGAAGAGGACAGAAATCTTAGGTTAACTCTTCTTGCTGATTCTCACTAGAGGGAGTAACTGTGATATAATTAACCTGTTACCTTGCTTCATCTGAAGAGCTCTGTTGCTTTGCATCTGGAACTTAACTGCCCCACCCTATACCTAGGTAACTCTTTTCTAATTACCTTCCTAAGAATGGGAGCAAAAGTGATGTATAGCAAGAAGCCCCAGTTGGGGCTGAGAATGGCTGTGTTCAAATGGTGACTCATATAGTCTTGCCACCCAGCAGTGGCTTCTCTGGGCCTCAGTTTCCCCATC